AAATACTACAGTTGAGAGTGGGATAACCTGTGGGGTGAATAAATATCTCAAGACTGCTGGACAGGGCGCACTATTCATAGATGTGATTAGAAACAAAAACTTTGCATCCAAAGACAAGGAAGAAGCTTTAGGGCAGAATGCAGATTCACATAAGGTCTGGAATGAGGTTGACTCAGGGGACAAAGGGAAGGTCAATATGACAGAAGGGCAGAGAAGAAGGGAGCAATGTTGTTAAAAGAAGATAAGGAGGATATTAGCTTAGTTCTCTTTAGTTAAAAAATGTACATTTTACTTTAATTTCAATAGTAAATATATTCTGGAATTTAAGCAAGGGATATTTTGGTGTGATATGATCTGATTCATATTTTATTAAAATCTTTCCATTTTTATACAGGTAGAAAAAGGAACTTGCATTATCAATGGGAGCTTTCTATCTCATGGACATTCCCCTACTTCATTTGACTGTTCAAGTCCATACAACTAGAAGCAGTTAGCATCAGGTTATTCTAAAAATTCACGTCCAAAGAAGAAATGTGACCCTTCCTTCCACAAAATTTCTATGCCCTTGTTCCCTTCATCCCCTTTCTATACTGCCTTCTCTCCTTTCTATTTTGGTTTTGTTTTAACTTTTAAATTTGCTGTCCTTGGCCTTTCCTCTGTTGCTATTATTGTTTCTGCCATAAGGGGTTGGAGACATCACTCCATTTAGTTGTGCTGGAGCGATAGCACAGTGGGTATGGTGTTTGCCTTGCATGTGAACGACCTGGCAAGCTACCAAGAGAATCCTGCCTGCATGGCAGAACCTGACAAGCTTCCTGTGAGGTATTCGATATGCCAAAAAACAGTAACAAGTCTCACAATAGAGATGATATTGGTGCCAGCCCGAGCAAATCGATGAACAATGGGAGGACAGTGACAGTGCTACGATGCTCACTGGTGGTTTTGCATCAGTTTCTTGTGTTTCAACCCTCAAACATGGTACTCACCAAGGATTGCTCTCAGTTATGAATGAACATGTGTTTTCCAAAGTCTATACTCCTTAGTTGTGGTGCTCACATGCATTCTGGCTTTAGACCTCTCTGAGGCTCACTGTAATGATCTTACAGTGATTTAGTTGTGGTACCCAGTGAGGGTCACACCCCTTCGCTATGTGTTTGTGCACAATTCCAGTTGCAGTTTAGCCATAAATCCGTGGTGCAGGAAATCACAGATATCAGCTCTACCAGCTTCAAACAACAGAATTAATGGGATTGCATTTAGCACAGGTGGCAGTACCAAGGATTGAGCTCACAACTGTATACATACAAGGAGTTCTAAACTATTGAATTATAGTTGACCCTTCTCTTTATCTCCATTACACCCACTTTCTATTATTTTGTGAGGAAATTATTTTTCTAAAAGCATAAGTCTTTAAATTCTTGCTGATATACAATTTAATGTATTTTTAACATCGATGGGGAGGAAAAATGCATTAAAAATTACTGCCAAGCCTAAATCTCAGTGCAAGTGACTGAAAGATGTAATAGAGAAGAGAAGAGTGGAGAAAGTCTGGAGATTTGATTGTCAGTTCTCTACTTTGACTCCTCTCACTTCAACATCCTTCACTGCCAAGGTTACCATTTCTCAATTATCCTGTTTCCCTTGTGCTCCCTCTAAGCTGTTGCTGCTCTGGGAGCAATTTCAAGGTTTCATCTTCTCTGTGTATTTATTCTTCACTTTCCAGTTGATTCTCCCCTCAGCTTTCGCCGTTATAAAATTCACTTAAGTTTTGCTGTTTTTCAGATTGGAATGTGAACATTCTAAAAGTGTGTTTGTCTCTTGACTGGTGGAAAATTTTAAAATGCGTCCTGGTGTTGAGGGCACAGAAAGAGAAGCTGGTGCCCCTGGCTCTGTGTCCTTATGCAAGGTCAAATGGAAAGGAACCAGTCAGCTTTGTGTCCTTTGGGTTTTCTTCCTTGGCAACGGTACTTTCATATGAAATTCTTCATCACTCCTTTGCATTTCAGTTTGCTCCAATTTCATTGTTTTTAAAATCAATTCGAATAAAAATTTGATACTGAATTTTCCTCTTCTCCCTTCTCTATTTCTTGATTTGAGTTTGCCCCTTCCTATCTTCCTCTCTTCTGTTTGTTACTTTTATTCCTTTTTTGTTTCCAATTTTGTTTGTTTTGGGTCACACTTGGTAGTACTCAGGGATTATTCCCCAGTTCTGTTCTCAGAGATCACTCCTGGAAAGGTCCAGCGGATCATATGATATGCCAGGAATTAAATCCTGGTTGCCCCCATGTAAGGCAAGCACCCTATCAGCTATATTGATGCTCTGCACCCCTCCCTCCACACACAGAACTTTTTTTTTTTGCTTTTTCCTCTCCTGATTTTATCCTAAAGAAAAAATACATTTTCTTCCTTATTATGTTGACACTACACAATATATTTGTCCCTAAGCGCTATCAACTTTTAACAAATATTCATTTACCAATTATTAAGCTGAACCTTGGACAATACATTGTGCAATTATAAAGGTACAAATTTATAGACATGGTCTCTATCTTTAAGGGTCCTTCGAATGAGAGATTTGAGTCCATTTTTGTTCTGAAGATAGTGGGGAGTTGTGAAGGTTTTACTCTTAAGAGTGACATTTCTAATGTATTTGGTTGCAGCATAGTGAATGCAACAGAGTTAGTCAATGATATTTATCAGGCACTTGATAAGTACTAAGGGTCACAAATATAGTCATGAAAAATGCTGACACACACCCTGGTGGTTCCAGTGGACAGGAATTCTAAAATCAGGAAGTCCAGCTAGCAATCTGGGTTCTGAGGGTTCTTGTACTCTAGATTGCAGCTGTGCAGAACACAAGAAACTTAGTGAGTTTCTTATATCTTATAAGAGATACTGAGAAGCATATTTACGGAACCTGGTGATTGAATGGATGGGTGTCCGAGAGTGGTATGAGGTGAAGGCCAGGGTCTTTACCGAACTCAAGGGTTAGCCTGTATTCTCCTTTCTTTCTTAGCCTGACAGCTTAGTGACGTGCTGGGTGTTTCCGTTTCCATATGTCTAGTTATCAGTTTGACCAGCTGTCAGTTCTGTCATCGGATTTGGTGATGCACAGTGGCATGGAAAATACAATGGGTCATTGACCTTGCAGTAGAGGCCGTTTGCTGTGGGAAAGCTATTATGAAAAATTATGCTAAGCAGCTCTTCTTGTCAGATGAATTTTGCTAAACTGTTCATTCTGTCATATGATATGCACCACAAAACAGCTGCAGGATAGGATATAGAAGGGACGATAGGATGATTGATAAAATAGAAAGAAAAAGAATTTCATAACAAAACTAGCAGTAGGAGACTCAGAGGAACAACAGTGCAGTGCAATGGAAGATTTTAAAATGGCATTTGGTGTACTGAGAGGGAGTACTAAATCAGATTATTTCTCTGATGACTTACTAAAGACATTAGTATTCTGTTTTTATCTTCGAAAAAAAAAGGTTTCTGGAAAATGCTGTATACTATGTCTTTAAAAAAAATAAATCTGGCTTGTTCATCAATTTGCTAGAGCAGACCCAGTAACATCTTCATTGTGACACTTGTTACTGTGTTTGGCATATTGAATACGTCACAAGTAGCTTGCCAGGCTTTGCGGTAAGGGCAAGACACTCTCCGTAGCTTGCCGGGCTCTCCGAGAGTGGCGGAGGAATCAAACCTGGGCCGGCCGGTGATAAGCAAATGCCCTACCCGCTGTGCTATCTCTACTAAATATATTTATTATTTTCATATGCAAACTGGTGGTTGGGAGGCAAATGAGGGTCGGGTTCGGAGAGAAGGGAAGTAGACACTGACATGGGGATGGATGACGGGCACTGGTGGAGGGATGGGCACTTGATCATTGCATAACTGAAACCCAAGCACAAAATTTGTAAGCCTATAACTGTACCACATGGTTTTTCACTAATAAAAAAAGAAAAAAAAAGAAAGGATTGGTGCTGAAACATTGTATGCCTGAAACACAACATAAATAACTTCATAATTTTATGGTGTGTAAATTAAAAATAAATAAATGCTTATGGAAGATATTTTATGTTGCCCTTCAGCAATGTAATAATTAATGTAAAATTTTAAATCTAGACAACTCTGGATTTGAATTTTTATTCTGTCATAAAAATGTGATTTTAGACAAATTTTTAAATGAGATTCACAAATGAACATAGATATAGCAACATTTCATATTTATTCTGAAGAACAATTAAAATACTATCTTATAATATGTTTCAAAATGCTGAACTTTTGTTATATGTAGCTATTATTTTAGAACATTTCTTTGTATTTCTGAGTTTTGTGACCTTGACTTGAAAGTATTAACTTGATATTTTTCATTTGTTTTTTCATTTTTCTCTACTTCTAATAAAGTACAACAGAGCAGATTTCAACAATATTAAAACATTGATGTCTTCAGTAGTAGTGCCGTACAATAAAGGGAACTATTGTAGTAGGTGATTTGAAAAAACACATTAAGAATAATAGACTTGAAGCAACTTTCTTTGCTGAAACTCATCTAACACATTATATCTAAACTGTTTACATGATAATTTGACTTGACAATGAAGATGAAAATTTTAAGGAAAAAGTAAAATGTCACTTATTTAAAGATTATTCAATTGTCCTTGTTTTATTTTTTTTTTGCGAAATAAGTTGAACCTGTACTTATATAAAGACAAAATGGCAATATTTTCCATTTGATTTATACTATGTTTAAGTGAATGAAGACTGACTAAAGCTGAACCTTTGCTATATTGCACTGTGTCAAGATATATTACTCCGAAAATTTATTTTTTCTTTTCATCTTTTACACAGGGTGAATGAAATTTTAAATACAAGTAATACAATTTTAGGAGTTAAATGTGTTAAAGTGTCATGGAAAACTTTAAATGTAACACAGTTATAATGGAAACACAATGTCTTCACATGCTTATGTTTTTTATTATTTTTTTCATTTTCAGGATGAGTAAGAGATACTTACAGAAAGCAACAAAAGGAAAACTTATAATAATAATATTTATTGTAACCTTGTGGGGAAAGGTTGTACTCAGTGCAAACCATCATAAAGGTAAGCCACTTTATTTTTCTTTCTCTCTTTAACTGATGCTATCACATTCTGTCTTTTTAGATCTGTTAGCCTGACTTGATAGGACTTTTCCAAACACTGCTGGCAATTCATGAGTATTATCTTAAGACTATGATAGAGGAAGTAGGACTATTTAAGTCTTTTCAGGATTACTGTTACTTTAGTAAATAGCATTCAACCTTCCCCTGTCATTTCCATTTTTTAACTTGGTGACGTTAAAATGTGCACTAGACTTGTAATACTGATGAACTTCAGATAACCATCATCTTCATCATGAAAGCATTTTTAATGACTTGTATCTTAATATTATGTATAAATGAAAATTTTTATTCAAGTTTTTTGTATATTTCTTTTCTTTATGCAAGAGTACTGCTTTAACTCTATTCCTAGTATTAAATTAAACAGACTCAATTCTTCCATAGAAACTAAGTTAAATTACTTGTCTCATATATATGTGTTAAACTCTGCAGCTCAAAATGGTACACTTTCTGTTGTCTTTCCTAAGCATAAGGTTCACTATAATGAATAACTTTTCCCTAAATGAACTAAATAGGATTATTTCTGAATATTTCCCGACTATAATCAAATCTACACTCTTAAAAGTTAATGGATATTTGCCTTTTTAAAATGATTTTATAATGCAATTTTTAAACCTTTGTAAAATCTAAAGACTAGCAAATGTATTCTTTCTAATAAAGAGGGAGTTAAGACTGCCTTGAATTCTATGTAGCTTAATTATTTATATGTATATATTTAATTAGTATTACATGGAACATTAACACCAAGAAGAAGGGAAAAGTGGTGGGAGGGAGTGATGCCCATTGCTCTTCTCCTCTATACTTAAAAACAAAAAGAGATAACTTCTTGATAGCAGAATGTTGTGGAGGTTTTAATACCTCATAATCCTATTTTCAATATTTGTTTTTGCATGTATATTAATTATGTACATATATGGTACACATATATACAAATATTAATTATATTTCTTTGCTCCAAAACCTCATCTTAATCAAGTTTTAAATTTTCTTCAAATTTTTTGTTTTGATGAATTCAAGCCAAGCAATTCTACTGCTGAGTTGCATCCTGGCCACTAGTGATTTTATTAGTGTAAAATTGAGAAGACAAAGACATTGAGAAGGGCATGCTTCTCCAGACCTCTTAGCAATAGTGATGTGAACCTCCGGATAAAGTACCTTTTATAATGAGTCACAAATGACTGCAAGCAGACCCAATTGCCTTTGCCTTAATAAGAGAATGAGACCCAACTTCCCTCCAAGTCTATGAAAGATTTGAGAGAAGTAGATGGATTTATATCAGTGTAGGTGTCATCCTCTTAAAGCAGGGGTTTGTAATAGAGATTTCTCATCTATAAAGCCAATTGAGGGGGCTCTCTTAGGGTTGCTGTGAATTATATGTAGAGCCACTTTTAAAAAATATTTTTATTGAGTCATCGTGAGATACACAATTATAAAGCTGTTCAGGATTGCGTTTCAGTCATGCAGTGTTCCAATACCCATCCCGTCTCCAGAATACATTTCCCACCATCAATTCTCTCCCACCACCATCCCCCCCACCAGCTTGCCACTTTGACAGGCACTTTTATCCTCTCTCTCTCTTCTCCTCCACCCCCTTCTCTTTCTCAGAGCTACTTTTAAGAGTGCAAGTTGTACTTACACTCTTAAAAGCAAAATCTTAAAAGCTTACATTCTTTCTTTTTTGCCTTTTGGGTCACACCCAGGAGTGCTCAGGGGTCACTCCTGGCTCTGCACTCAGGAATTACTCATGGCAGTGCTTGGGGGACCATATGGGATGCCGGGGATCGAGCCCAGGTCAGCCACGTGCAAGGCAAATGCACTCCCCGCTGTGCTATCACTCCAACCCCAAAGCTTACAATTCTTAAAAGATGAATTTAGAATAGATTCCTCCCTTATTCTTTCTTTTCTCCCTCCTCCTTTCTCTTTCATTTATAATACCATTAATATGCCCATTTTGATTAAACTATTTCACTTTCAAATGATAAGTATAATGTATATATGTTTCTAGTGTTCATAAGATGAGCACTGTTGTACTTGCCAATGATTTGAGATATTTATCATTTCTAATACCCTTGAAGCTAACTATGTCTGCCACTGATCTTATTGCCTTTGCCTCCTTCCTAAAGATTATCACTATTGTGTTTCATGATTATAATTTTCTTTGGGCCACAATCAGCATTGCTTAGGACTTGCTCTTGTCTCTGTGCTTAGAGATAACTCCTGGAAGTGCTCAGGGTACCATATTTCGCACTTGGGATTTAACCCCGTTGGCCAAAATGCAAGGACAAGTGTCATAACCCCTGAACTACCTCTCTGAACCCCATATCTTTAATCTTACCATATAATTCCAAATAGTTTTTCAAATTGAGAGAACAAATAAATTATACAATATTTCCTATTATTTTTATAATGTATGTTGTATCTCTTATTACATCACTTTTTGTCTGAATAGTGTATACTTGATAGTATTAACTGAATACACTCTTCTTTATTAGTTTCATCCAAGTTAGTTGATCTTATTAGTTAGTTTGTGAAGGACTAAACATTTGCCTTTGTTGATCCTCTTAATTCTTTCTGTAATTCTCATGTCATCTATAAATTATTAACTTTATACTCTCTGTCATCTACAAACTGTTCACTCGAGTCATCCTGAATAGGATTAGCAGAACACTAGATGAAGGACAACCATGTGAACAAGCTGGGTTCCGCAAAGAATTCAGTACCATCGACCATATCCACATGATTACTAAGTTCATTGAGGTTTCTCAGGAGTTCAAGATGCCGCTCTGTCTAAAGTTCATTGATTTAAAGAAGGCCTTTGATTCTGTTGAGATGGAAGCGGACATAGAAGCCCTAGCCAACCAGGGCATACAAACTCAATACATCAGGATCCTCCATGAGCTCTATTAAGGATTTGCTACCAGGATCTCACCATTCTACAAAGAAATAATCATCCATGTCAATAGAGGGGTTCGGCAGGGTGATACCATTTCACCAAAACTCTTCAGTGCCACCCTCGAGAACATTATGCGACGACTGGAATGGGAAGAAATGGGAGTGAAGATAGATGGTCGGCAACTACACCACCTCTGCTTTGCTGATGACATCGTTCTAATAACACCAAACATCAGTCAAGTGGCACAAATGCTGACTGACTTCGACCATGAGTGTGGAAAAGTCGGATTACAGTTGAATCTTCCTAAGACAATGTTTATGAGAAACAGCCTCGTTCCTGATGCTCCGTTCGCTCTCAACGAAACCACCATCTCCGAATGCAGCAGTTATATATACCTAGGTTGAGAAATCAACATGATGTCACCTGAGTTGCACAGGAGGAAGAGAGCAGCTTGGAATGCCTTCAAGAGCGTTGAAGAAATAACTAAGAGGACAAAGACCCCCCAGCTACGAGCACATCTCTTCGATTCCACTCTTCTTCCTGCATTAACATATGCCTCAGAGACCTGGGCCCTACGAAAACAGGATGAGAACGCTATTCGGGTCTCTCAAAGAGGAATCAAAAGAGCTATGCTTGGAATATCACGCTTCACTCAAATGAGAGATAGAATCTGGAGTTCTGATCTCCGTCAACACTCAAGAATCAGGGACGCTGTCTCATTTGCCAAGACATCAAAAATCAGATGGGCTGGACACATACTGAGGTTTACAGACAACCGCTGGACTAGAGCCATTACTGACTGGATTCCACGGGACATCAAAAGATCGTGTGGACGCCCACCTACAAGATGGTCAGACTTCTTCGTGAAGAACCTGAATGATCGGTTTGAGGCTCTTCATGTTCCTAGAATGAACAGATGCCATTGGGCTAGGCTAGCACGCAACAGGGATGAATGGAGACGTTACTGGCACCCGCTTGAGTAAATCGATGAATAACGGGGGATCAAGTGATCAAGTGATGCTCCTTATAATTCAATCTACTTTATTTTTATTCATATTACCTGTTCTCCTGTTGTTCATAGATTCACTCAAACAGGTACCAGTAATGTCTCCATTGTGAGACTTATTGTTATTGCTATTTGGCATATCGAATACATCATGGTAGCTGTTACCAGGCTTACAGTGTGGCCGAGATACTCTCAGTAGCACGTCAGGCTCTCTGAGAGGGGCAGAGGAATGTAATTGGGTCAGCTGCATGCAAGGCAAACACCCTATCCACTGTACTGTTACTCCAGCTCAATAATCATAATCATAATCATAATCATAATAAAAACCAGTGAAGACTCCAGAGAGATATCTCAGTAGACTGGGTGCATGCTTTGCAAAATGGCATTTCTAATCTTCAAAGCTTTAATCTGTGCTAGACAGTCAAGCCTCTGAATCGCAGAGAAAATCTCCAGCATCAGAAGCAATGACAAACTGAAAAAAGTCTCTTTTCTCCTAGTATGATTTGTGACTCCTTATTACTGTTCAGGCTGCCAAAATCAGAGTCAAAGTGATATTATAGCACAGTTTCAAAATGCTCAGATAATTAATTCCATTAGCTCTATCTTCTTTCCTTTGAGGTTGATTATTCTACCATAATCTGAATTGCATACAGTCATCTCTAAAGCTACCTAGAATGATTTTTCATTTGTGGAAGGTGGGAGGGAGGGGATTTCAGCCACACTTGGCTATGCTCAGGGAAGCATACGTAGTGTTGGTGACTGAACAGAGGTCGGCTGTATCATCTCAATTTTTTGGACCACAATTTTTTCACGTTTTTTTAATATTTTTATTTTTTAAATTTTTATTAGTGAAACACCATGAGGTACAGTTGTAGAGTTACAAATTTTTGTGCTTGGATTTCAGTTGTACAATGATCAAGTACCCATCCCTCCACCAGTGCCCATTCTCCACCACGACCAGTCCCAGTATCCCTCCCACCCCCCAGCCCCAATCCCATTCTGCCTCTGTGGCAGGGCATTCCCTTTTGTTCTCTCTCTCCTTTTG